CCCCGTCCAACGTGGCCTTGCACTCTGCCAGGGAGGGGGCACCCACAGCTTCCCTGGGCAACCTGGGCCAGGGCCTCATCACCCTCACAGTCAAGAATTTCTTCCTCATATCCAGTCTAAATCTCCCCTCTTCCAGTTTAAAACCATTCCTCTCGTTCTATCGCTCCCTGCCCTTGTAAAAAGTCCCTCTCCAGCTTTCCTGTAAGACCCCTTCAGGAACTGGAAGGCTGCAATAAGGTCCCCCCGGAGCCTTCTTTTCTCCCGTTGTATTCTTCATGTGCTGGTTACATGGGTGGTTTACAACATACTAGACCTGTATTGTGGAGATTTAGGATGTCTTGCTTGTTACCCCAGCTCTAGAATAACACATCAAAATGTCGAAAATGGAGATCATTGACAGGGTTGACTAGGAAAGAGAAAGGGTGGTGTTACCCACAGAGCTCAGAGGTTGCATGTTAACAGTAGCCTAAAAGCAGAAGAGACTCAGTTTTCCAAAGAAAATCTTAGGAAATGGCATTCTTACATCACGTAGTTAAACAGCACGGATTTAAGTATTGGGAGTTAATTTGCCCCCGAGCATGTAGAAATTGCAATAACTTCTTATAATTGGAGTAGAAGTAGTATCACTTGACGTCCTTGGTATGTGTAGGAATGGTTTTAGGGAGTTGAAGTAGAGTATTATTACTATTTTGAATGTGAGTCTATTGACTCTTTTTCAGGAAAATCAGTGAAATGCTGTATGTGATGGGGTTTTTTTTCCAAACCTTGCATTTTCCATATTAATTTCAGGGGCTTGAGTGATTTGGTTTGTTTTCTTCACCAAACTCTTTAATTGGCTGCGAGCTGCAGGGTCAGTACTTCCTCCTTTTACATCAGACCTTTGAATTCCTGTGATCGGATGTTGCTTTAGTAGGATCATCCATCCTGTAATTTGGAATAAAGTGTGTGGAATGGGATTTGAATTCTGAACTCCCAGTTCCAGGTCTGCTTTTTGGGCCCGTTGCTCATGTCCTGCCTGTGCAGTGGATGTGACAACACCACCCATCTCTCCAGGAAGTCAGAGCATGGAAAAGTCCTTGGAGATGCTCAGAGCTGTTCAGTGAGCGTACAGAGTTGTGACCGGATTAACTCAAAGTGCGTTTTTGGCCTCTTTCAGCCAGAGGATCAGCTGTCGTGTTACCTGACTCGCACTACCCTGAAAGCCCAGCAGATTATCTACGATAACCTCCACCTGAACAACCACGTAAAGGAGACGACAAGGGGCCCGCGGTGAGTACGTGCCATCACGCGATGCTCTCAGCAACACGAGCTGACGCTCTGAAACTCTGGCTGTCCCGATTTGCTCTGGAAAGTTACTTTTTCTCCATGTCAGGTGGTGCTCATGGCCATTCCCTGTTGCAGGTACTGCCCCTCTCTGGAAGCGAAGGTTCTGCGCTTCCCAAACCGGGAACATCAGGTGTGGCTGGAGCCCGAAGGCCTGGAGTCCAATGTCATTTACCCCCAGGGCATGTCGATGACACTGCCACCTGAGCTCCAGGAGCAGGTGGTCAGATCCATCCCCGGCTTGGAAAACGCCAAAATGCTACAGCCAGGTGAGGGGGGCAGATGGTTTTAAATCTGTTTGTCATGTTGGTTAATAAAAAAATCAGATTTTGTTTAGAGCATAGCAAAACAAAGGAGATACGAAACAAAATTAATTCTTGGATGCAGGATGATTCACAGAATCACAGAATATCAGGAGTTGGAAGGGACCTCAACGATCACCGAGGCCAACCCCTGCCAGAGCAGGATCACCCAGAGGAGGTCACACAGGAACACGGCCAGGGGTTTTGAATGTCTGCAGAGAAGGAGACTCTACAACCTCTCTGGGCAGCCTGGGCCATGCTCTGGCACCCTCACAGGGAAAAAGTATGTCCCCATGTTCAGGTTGAACCTCCTGTGCTCCAGCTTGGGACCATTGCCCCTTGTCCTGGCATTGGACATCCCAGAGCAGAGCCTGGCTCCTTCCTCCTGACACTCGCCCTTTCCAAATTGATCCCCATGAATGAGGGCACCCCTCAGTCTCCTCTGCTCCAAGCTAAAGTGCCCCAGCTCCCTCAGCCGCTCCTCATCAGGAGATGCTCCACTCCCTCCATCATCTTTGTGGCCCTGCTGGACTCTTTCAAGCAGTTCCTGTCCTTCTTGAACTGAGGGCCCAGAACTGAACACAATATTCCAGATGTTGTCTCACCAGGGCAGAGCAGAGGGGAAGGAGAATTGATTCCTTGGTTGTTTTTGAATTGTAAATAACGGTTGATAATCTGATTTATTGTGTGTCATTGATTGCCTTTGCTGAGAAATAGAGACAAAAATCTTCAAAATCTGTAAGATACGCCCTTTTATTTTCTTTGTCACAGGCTACGGGGTGCAATATGACTTTTTAGATCCCCGCCAGCTGACTCCTTCTCTCGAGTCTCGTCTTGTTCAGCGCCTCTTCTTTGCAGGCCAAGTAAACGGCACTACAGGCTATGAAGAAGCTGCAGCTCAGGTGGGTGAATCTGATATTCAGCACAGGATATTGCCTTGGCTTTTGTCTTTGATAAGGAGTCTTGCTAGGCCCATCTTGCGCTGCTTTTGTCGCTCACCCTGCTTCCAGGCTTGCCCAGATATTTTTATTTTTAGTATCTACGGTTGCTGTTAATGTTTCACCATGGAGGCTGTGCAGTGGTGTAATTGAAAACAGGGGGATTGTCTCTAGTCGTGTCAGCAGGGGCCAAGAAGCCCTTCAGAGAGGTGTAGTACTGGGACCAGCTTTGTTCAATATGTTCATCAACAACCTGGACCAGGGAACAGAGTGCACTGTCAGCAGTTTTGCTGACAACGCCAAACTGGGAGGAGTGGCTGACACTCCATGGCGCTGTGCTGCCATTCAGCAAGGCCTGGACAGGCTGGAGAGTTGTGTGGGGAAAAATTTAATGAAATTCAGCAAGGGCAAGTGTAGGGTCTTGCAT